ACAGAGTCTGACAACCTCACAGCTTTCTTCATTAATTATACTTCCCTTCCTCTGTATCTCTCCCCTCACTTCCATAAATATTCTCTCAAACCTCCTCAACATTAGCCTCTACTCCAACTGTGAAAGTAACTCCAACAGAACCGGACCTATCAGGTTTTCATCTACTGATATTTATCTCCCTCCTTACTGACTTACCCCATCTTTTCCTTCTTCCCTTCCCCCCCTCCATATTGCAGTCTAATCATTAATAGCAGTACAGTAGTCTTTCAGGAAAATTGGTAAAAGGGAAAATTGTCAAAACAAGTTTTAATGTTCAGGATTGATGTACAGTTGAATCTGTGGACACTTAATAACCGATAGGGATTCTCTCCTTAAAATACAGTAACTGGGTCCAACTAAATTAAACTGAATAGGTTGAAGTGGTAGACAATACCTCTTGACAAATAAAGCCAAGATCACATCACTGGAAAACAGAACCTAAATAAATAGCTCTTCACACCAACAACAAAGTCTCTTCATTCTATTTGACCTCAATCCTCAGTGCATGTACACACGCGTGCACAAACACACATACAGATGGGAACACAAAAAATGCCTCCAAAGACTCCCAGTTAACCCAAAGCAGATCCAGTGGGCACCAGTGATGATGAAAATAAATACTAAATAGCTGAACTTTACGAAATGACTAAAGAAAAAAACAAAGAAACTCGGCAAGCTAGCAATGATATAACCAAACATAGTGGAATAATTAACAAACTGACCAATGTGATTATTAAAGATGAATCAACTAAAAAATAGAGGAGCTAACCAAAACCATTCAAAACATGGTATCATATTTATTAAAGAAATAGAGTACTTGGAAAGGTGCCAAACAAATCCTTGAGATAAAAATTATATTAAATATATGAACATAAGAATTGATCAGTGTGAGGAAAGTGTCAGACCTTGAGGACAAATCAAAAGCATGGGACCATATAACTCGATATATTTTAAAAACAACAGAAGCCAGGCATAATGGTGCAACCCTGTAATCGCAGCATTTGGGAGGCTGAAGCAGGAAGATTGCTGTGAGTTTGAGGCCAGCCTGGGCTCCAAAGTGAGTTCAAGACCAGCCTGAATTGCATAGTGAGACCCTGTTTCAAAAAAATTGGCAAATAACAGAAGAACAAAGAAAACTGATTCAATAGCTACTAGAAGATGCTATGAAAACTAATCTTACACCAGCTGGAGTTAGAGAAAAATATAGGGCAATACATATGGAATAAGAAACCCATTTGCAGAAATCATACCAGAAAACTTTTCTGGTACAGGAGAAAAATCAACATAGGCAAAGCATATAGAACACCATATAATTAGAAGAAAAAACTCCCCAAAACAAATTATACTCAAAATCCAGGATGTCCAAAACAAGGACAATCTCAAAAGCTGTCAGTGAAACAACAACAAAATAACTTACAAAGATAAGCCCCATTAAAACTACAGTAGACTCTTCAACACAAACTTTAAAGGCCAGGAGGGTACAGATTGATGCATTTCAAACCCTAATATTCAAAAACTTTAGACCCAGATTAATATATCCTATAAAACTGATGGAGAAATAAGAAACCCCCATGACAATACCACAAGAAACACATGACCACCAAACCAGCACTCCAAACATTTCTTACGATTATCCTAGACAGACAATAAAGTCAACAATGCCAGAAAGTCTTATGGAATGAATGCAACCAACAGGGTGACCAGTTAAACAAACAGAGAAAAATAAATGAATCAACAACAGAAAAATAATGCAATGACAGGAATAAGTCAATACCTTTCAATAATAACTCTCAATTGACCTCAACTTCTCAGTTAAAAGACGCAGACAGACAGACCGAAATAGGGAGGGGAAACCATTTGAAAAGAGACACATCTAATCCAAAAATAAATTCATAGACTACATATCAAAGAATAGAAGGTGATTTTCCATGCATTGGGACCCTGAAAGCAAGGAGAAAGAAGGATCTTATTCTCTGACAAAGTGGAGTTCAACCTAAAACTTAGCATAAGAAGCAAATAAGGTTACTATATATTAAGAGAATAATTCAACAAGAAGAGAAAACAATTATATATATATATATTACCAGTGTACCCAACTTCCTAAAACTACATAATGGACCATAAAGTTTGCTTATATAAGTACAAAAGAAAGTTAATATTCATAATGCACTAAAGCCAAAAATTAATGACAAAAGGCAGAAATTTTACAAACAACTAGATTTATAAATCACACACTCATGAATACCTAATGAGTCAAAAAGAAATCAAGGAAGGAATTAATTCCTGAAATCAAATGATAATACCTGTACAACATACCAGAACCTCTGAGACACAATCATCTAAGAAGAAAATTTATTGCTGTGAATGCTCAGATTAGAAAGACAAAGTAAGTTCAAATAAATGACTTAATTATACATCACAAGGTACCAGAAAAGCAAAAACAGTACAAACCTAAAGGTAGTGCAAGGAAAAAAAATCATACAAATCAGAGCAGAAGTTAGTGAAATTGGGTCAAAAAATTACAAAGAAGTCAATGTATCAAAGAGCTGATCTCCAAAGGAATAAAAGATAAAACTCTCTGGCCAAACCTATGAAGAGGAAAGAAAACACCCATATCAATGCAATTAGAAATGAAAAAGGTGAAATCATACTGTACATTGCCAAAATCTAGAAGATCATTAGTAACTATTATCAAAATTTGTACTCCAACAAATTGGAGAATCTAGGAGAAATAGATTCCTAAACACATATGAATTTCCAAAACTAAACCGAGAAGATATAAATACTCTGAGCAATCCAATGCTGGGCAATGAATTTAGGAAGTTATTAAAAACCTACCAAGTAAGAAAATCCCAGAATCAAATAAATTCACCACTGAATTCTACAAGAACATCTGGGAAATATAATGCCATTACTCTTTGAACTCTTTAATGATATTGAAAGGTAAGTAATACTGCCAAACTTCTTCCTGGAAGGTAGCATTATGCTGATTCCAAAGCCAGACAAAGACCCAACTGAAAAAGAAAACAACAGGCCAACTTCCTTAATCAACACAGACACAAAAATCCTGAAGCTACTGGTAAAACTGCAATAAATCATCAAAAAATAGGCTTTGGGGCCTGGGGATTTAGCTCAGCGGCATAAGCGCCTGCCTTGCAAGCAGGCAGTCGTGAGTTCGATCCCTGGTACCGATAAAAAGGAAAAAGACCAAAAAAACAAAAACAAAAACAATAGGCTTCATCCTAGGGATGCAGGCATTGTTCAGATATGCAAATCAATGAAAATTATTCAATGTTATATCTCACATAAACAGAAACAAGAGTAAAAATCAAATGACCATATAAATAAACGCATAAAAAGCCTTTGACAAGATCCAACCAACATCATTAATGATTTTTTAAAAGCCTTGAAGAAAATAGGTATAGACAGACCTTCTTATCTCAATCTGATAAAAGCCATTTATGACAAACCTACTGCCAACATCATATGTAAAAGGAAAAAAGGCTTAAAGCTTTTCCTTTAAAATCAGGAACTAGACAAGGATGTCCACTGTTATCACTCCTGTGCAATATAGTACTCAAAACTTTAGCCAGAGCAGTTAGACAAGAGAAAGAAATAAGAGTAATACATTTGGGAAGAAAGAAGTCCAAGTGTCACTATTTGCAGATGACATGATCTTTTACATAGAAGACACAAAAATTCCACCAAAAGACTCCTAGAATTAATATCCAAATTCAACAATATAGCAGGATAAAAAAAAATCAATAGCATTCCAGTAATGAGTAAATCTTGGACATAAGACAGGAAGAAAGGAGAGAGGAAGAGTGGCTAAAGGAGGAAGAAGGGAAGAAGGATGAAAGGAAGAAATGAGGGGAGGAAACAAAAATGGAGGGAGGAAAAGAAGGAAGTAGAAAAAGTATGATGAGACAACCAAGAAAAAGTGACAAGATCAGGACACCTGGCCCACTCCTCATTCCCCATGCAATTCAAGCCCCCATTTCCTCAGGCCCAGGTAACTTTCTTGGTGTTGTTCCTTTACTCCACACACCTCTGGGCCCTAACCCCATTTACCACAGAAGTTGCAGGTCTTCAAGCTGGGATTCAAAGTTCTCTTGTACACATTTCTATGACTTAATTTCTCACTCAAACTTCTTTTTTTTCTTTTTAAAGTTTTTTTTAATTAATTTTATTTAAAAGGAAAAAGAGAAAAGCACAAAACAAAACAAAGCGGTGTAAGGGTACACATAATACAGAACTACAAAAAAAAAAACAGTAAGAAATCACCTGTTAATAGATTACATATTATCATCTTAGAAATAGTTGCTCAAATCACAGTATCAAAGAATACAAAGTGGACATTCAAACAATGAAACTGCAAACAGCTGTGCTCAATGATCCAAAAATATTAATATAGTCAGCTGTTTAACACCCCTAAACACACTTGCTGTTATATCCGTTAGAGCTCTTTTTTTTCCCCTCTCTTTTTTACAACAAAATTTACACATTTTGGATTTTATTACTCCTTAGTTCTTATTACTTTTTTTGGGGGGGGGAGAATAAAGTCAAATATGGCAAAACAAAGCTGTCAGTCAAAACCAAGGATAGACATAGCACATGATGTAAAAACAGAGTACAAGGTAATCAACAATGATTATCAGTGGTCTCTTGTTTCCTTAAAAAGAATTGTCTATCTCATTAGATATTATAAAGTTGAACAAAACAGTAGAGAACAAGACCTTAGGCATTGTAAACATTACAGGACTTCCAAAGGAGACAATAGTCACTCAAACTTCTAATGCCTTCTCCTTTCCTAACTAATGCACAGTGTGCTTTAGTTCAGTATATAGAAACCACTGGAGACCATGTGGCCTCTACCTCTCCACCAGTCCAAACGCTATTGAACCATGTCACTTCCTCCAAAAAGTCTTTTCCTGTGACTGTTGCTTCTCCTAAATTGCTAGAACCTTCGCTTTGTACCACTATGTGAACTGACCAAACACCAGGATACCGTTGCCACTTTGAGAGTGAAACCTGCAAGAGAACGGAAACCAAGCTAAACATATTATGGGCTTCCTCATGATGCATTGCAGAAAGTAAGTGCTCAATGATATTTGGTTAACAAGTAAAGTTTATCCTGTCAAAACACTTTCAAACATAAATCTGCATGCAATACACTTTCCTAAATGTGTTTTGAATTAGTTATTCATTCTGAGCTCTGTTACTTTCAGAGAAGTTTGTGTATGAGAAGGGGAGAGAAGATAGATATCTTGTGGAGAGAAATTATGAATTTCTGTGAATTAGGTTAACATATTACAAAAAGGTAGTGGTTTTTATTAGCAACACAATAGTGTTAATATTTTATTGTTTTGTAGGTAAAAAGTGTGTCTTGTTGGATTTTCTTTGGCAAAGTAATTCTCAAAATTTCTTAAAAATTAAAAATAGAACTATCGTATGATTCAGAAATCATACTTCTAGGTATGTAGCCAAAACAATTGAAGGAAAGGTCTTGAAGATATATTTGTACACACATGTTCATAGCATCATTATTCCCAAAAATTAGAAGGTGGAAGCAACTCAAGTGTTCAAGGATAAATGAATAAATTATATATATAGTGGCTTAGCTGACTATGGACTGAATCCTCTACAAACTTTGAGCCAAAAACCAGTATTTCTTCCTTTAAATTGTGGGTGTTGGGTATTTCATCTCAGTGATGAGAAAAAGTAAGATTTTGATACTGAGTGGGGTTATTGCTGTGGCTTTCTGATCATGTGTTTCAGAATCCTTTGGAACTGGTTCATGGGAAGAGAATGTAAAGGTTTGGAGATGCCAGCTTGAGAAGCAGCCCTAGAATGCTGTAAGCTGGGCTTGATGGGCGATTTCTGATCTAAGCTCAGAAGATGAAAATACTGTCAGAAATGCGGATAAAAAAGTCAGGCGCAGGAGCTTCCAGTTGGGAACAAGGACTTCATTGGCAGTTCATTATAGACCATGTGTGTCATGCTCTGGCAAAAAAAAAAAAAAAAAAAAAAAAAACTGTCTACATTTTGTTCATGTGCTGCGACTTTGGGAGAGACTGAGAATGAGGGTGGTAAACAAAGTAACCTGACAGAGGAGAATGCAAGGCAGGCAGACATTCAGACTAAGGCTTGAGTACTTTTGGGAGCTTCTACCCAGCTCCATATTGTGAATCAGTAAGAAAAAAAAATCTGAAACATTTAAAAATTTTGCATTTGGCCAGAAAGAAAGCTCCACTAAAATTGGAGCCTACAAACATGAAACAAAGGAGAGATTCACTGCCAAAAAGATTAGCATTTTAAAAACCCAAGGGTGAAACAGATGAACCCATGGCTCCATAGTAGGGAGAGACCCCACAATCCCGTGCACTGGTCCCTGACCAATTCCACAATCGTCAATTCCAAACCCTAGTCACAGTCACCACCAGTTTTGAGCCAGCTCACCAATTCTGAGTTTCCCCTCTGCATGAGACCAATACACATGCCAACCAACAAGCTGATCTGATCTTGGGTGAAGCCAAAGTCTGGTATAGAAGATCATGGTTGGATTCCACTTAATTTACCTGAGTATATTGGAGATACTTCGTTGTTGCAAATAGTCCTAAAAAGCCCAGAGCCACGCAGATGACCAACAAACAACCAACCTGATAGAGAAAGGGGTCAGTGACCTGGAGAAGAGTAAAGTCTGAAAGAGTCACCTGCTTCAGGGAGAAATAATGGATGCGCTAGCCCCAAGAAAAGCTCACAGTTGTTGTAAACAAAAATAAGTCAAATCAAATCCAGTGTGAGGTTTTTCCTGAGGGTTACTTCTCCACAGTGGGATAGAATTGGACAGAAGGATTCAGTACAGCACCTGTCATACTGTCAGAGAGACTTTAATCAGGTGCCATTACAGGAAATGATTGATCATGTGGGACTGAGCCAGAGAACAACAAAACAGCTTCACTCCAGAACTGAAGTGTTACCCTGACAAAGTGACTAAGTGAGAAACAGCCGTGGGAGACAGACTTTTGACAGGGTGAGGGCTAGACACAGATCTCCAAAGATTCCCTGAGTTCAAACTCAGACAGGAAGAACATGGAGCCTGCATTCTGCAGTGGGAGGACAGGTTTCATGGACCTGGCTTTCAGAGGTGGCTGCATCTGAGGGTGATGGCACTGAGCCTAGTAGTCTGCTTGAGTCCCTGCCCTGCTGCTTACATCCAGAGAAGCCCAGTGGTCTGATTCCTTTTGCATGTACCACCCAAGTGAGGCTATATCTCAGCTTGGATTGTTGTTGTGGACTGGGGTTTACAGATGAAGAGACCCCTTGAACACACAGGTCACCAGAAAAACCACAGGCTATAAAGAGGGGCAGAGAAGACTGTGACTCTCTAAATTCCAAAAATGTAGATCCTGGAAGAAAATCACACATCTGGAAATGCATAAGAATGTTGTTTTATTTTTATTATAAACCAAATTTTTCCTCCTTTATTGGTTTTTGGGTTTTTTTCTTTTAGTTTTTTGGTGGTGTTGAGAATTTTAGCTCCCATTTCCCCTACCCTTTTTTATTTTTATTATTATCTTTGTTTATTTGTTTGATTAGGTCTTCTTTTTGTTTCTCTTTTGTCTTTTCTCACTCTCTTTTAATTTCATACTTTATTACTTTATTATTTTTCTTTTTTTTTCCTCTGAGTTACTTTTTTTTTTTTTTTTTTTTTTGAGCCAAGGATTGAACTCATGACCTCCTGCTTGCCAGGCAGGCGCTTAAGCCACTGAGCTAAATCCCCAGCCCCTCTGCTTTACTTTCTATGTTTTATCATTTATCCTTTTCTTCGGTGGTTTTTTGTTACTTTTACTAATATTACTAATTTCCTCTTTAATAGGAGCCGTTATTTCAGTTTTATCACCCTATTCTAATGTTCTATTGCTTAATTTTTTGAATTCTACGTTTTTCAGGCTCCCATCCCCTGCTTCTTTTATCCTTACAGGTGTAATCATTAAGCTTTGTGACTCTGTAGGTAGTTAACTATATCTTACTATGGTTAAACGGAGTTCTATTGTTAATGGATGTAATATTTTTCTACTGAATAAATATTTAATTTAGATCAATATCTGGTTTGTTTTAGATTTTATACTATAAAAATATCTCCTATCTATGATTAAGGGTATTATATTATTGGTTCTTAAAATTTGTTAGTATTCATTTTGTATTTAGTGGTAATACTGAGTTTGCTAGTCTAGCCCCGGTGACTATTTCAGTTACTTATTCTCATTACTGAAACAAAATACTCTATGCTCAAAGTGAAGGAAGACAGATTTATTTGGCTCACAGTGTATAAAGCTTTCAGTTCATAGTTGGCTGGCTCCAAGGCAGGGTGGCATGGCAGAGGGGTGTCACGGAAGAGAAACAATTAATGATAGGCAGAAAACAGCAAGGTACAAATGACAATTAGTGACCGTCTTTCTGTCCCTTATATTTTAACCACACTACCCACCCTCAGGGCAGACAGCACTCACACCCAGGATAGGGCAACCTTAATCCTAGCATCACATCGTGAATCAATCCCAGAATTACATCCTTGATCCCAGGAGCAACAACCTTAGATCCAGCCACTTCCAAAAAGTCCCACCTATGACCACATGAGACTTTGGTGGAACATCTAGCTATAAGCCATAACAATGACATAGTTGTTAATTAGTTTTCTCTGTATACCAGTATCTACATTTCCTGGGGGGGGTCATAAAAACAATACTGCAGGACATTCCCAAAGAACTGGGAACTGGGCCAGTTAAGCTGAAACTGCTTTTCCCAAATAAATGAAGGTAGTTGGAACAGAGGCAAAGACCAAGAGTTAGATGCCCCCATAGGACATCTCTGAAAACACATGAACTAAAGATGTCTCCATACTAGCAACAAAGCTACCTACTATAATCAACCTACAAGCCTCAGCACCAAAACCAAACAAATGCAAAATAGGAACATGAGAAAATAAGGAAACAAAATGCTTCCCAAAGGTCCCAACTTCCCCAAATCTATCCAGGGACCATTTAGGGAGAAGAAATCAAAATATACACAGTCAGAATATCTGAAATGGTAACAGTGAAGGTAACAAAACAGACCCATAAGACATTTTGCAAATTCAAAGCACATATAACTAAATAAATAAAGACCTCAAGGAAACAGATGACAAGTGAGTCTAGAAAAGACACTAATAAAAACTAGAGGAGCTAAAGAAAGAGATGTATACCATGAATTCTCAGTGTAGAAAAGAATTGGTGTCCATAAAAAGTTTCAAACAGAAATAAAAAAGATTAAAAATTCTATGAAAGTATGGGCAGCACAAGTGACCAGTATGAGGACAGTGTGTCAGATCTAGAACACAGGACTGTGGTTAGTGATCAACTAGTGAGAGCTATCTTATAAATCAAAAAAACCTATGAAACATAGATCCATCATTTGCTAGATGATGCAAAGAAGACTAATTTAAGATTAATTAGAATTACTAAAACATCAGAGAGTAACACCAAGGCCATAGGAAAACATGTTTACAAAAGTAATAGAAAACTTTAAAAACATGCAAAAAGAATTTAACACACAGATAAGTGAGACATATAAAACCTTAAGTAGCCATGATCAAAAAAGAATCACCCCAAAAATACCAAAAACCCAACACAAGAACAGAATCTTAAAAGCTATTTGAGAAATATCAATGAATTACTTTAAAGGAAAATTCATCAGAATTATAGCATACTTCTCAATACAAACCTTAAAGGCAAGGACAGCTTGAAAGAAAATGCCTTTGACAAAATCCAGTATCCATTCATAAATAAAACCCTGAAGAAAATAAGTATAGAAGGACGTTATCTCAATATGATAAACAGCCACTTATGACAAACCTGCTGCCAACATCATATTAAATGAGAAAAATCTGAAAACTTTCTCTCTCAAAGCAGGAAGATGACAAGGATGTCTACTATCACCACTAATGTCCACATGGTTCTTGAAACATTAGTCAAAGTTATTACATAAGAGAGAAATAAAAGGGATATGTATTGGGAGGAAGAAGTCAAAGAATAATTATTTGTAGATGACGTGATCCTCCACTTGCAAGACCCAATAAGTTTCACTAATAGATTCAAATAGATAAGAAAATATATAAGGAATTCGGTAATGTAGCAAAATTCAAATCAAAACAAAAATTAATAGTGTTCTTATACACAAATAATGAATTAACTGAGAAGGAAATTAGGAAAACAGTACCACTCATAGTAACATCAAGAAAAATTAAATTCTTAGGAATTAACCTAACCAAAGAAGTAAAATACCTCTACAATGGACATTTGATCTTTCTAAAAAAGACTATTGAAGAGGACACTAGAAAGTGGAAAGATATTCCATATTTCATCATAGGCAGAACGCATATACTCAAATGACTATACTTCCAAAACTGATGTATAGATTTAACATAATCTCAATCAAAATATTAACAACATTCTTAACAGACTTAGAGAAAACAATCCAAAAATTCATATGGAACCAGAAGAAATCCCAAAAAACTAAAGCAATTCTGGATAATAATAGCAAAGCAAGGGGCATGCCAATCCCCAACTTCAAGTTATATTACAAAGATAATATGATCAAAACAGCATGGTACTGGCACAAAAACAAATATGTAGATCAATGGAACAGAATACAGAAAGAAAGAACCCCACACACATTCAGCTATTTGATCTTTGAAAAAAATTAAAAAAAAAAAACATTCACTGTAGTAAAGATAGCCCCTTTAATAAAAGATTGCTGGGAAAATTGAATATCCACATGCAGAAGACTGAGCCTAAACTCTTATATCTCAACATGTGCTGAACTGAAATCAAAATGAACCAAAATGTAAATGTTAAAGCAGAAAGACTTAATCTGCTAGAAGATAGAATAGGTAAAAGTCTTGAGGACATAGGCATAGGCATGGATTTTCTGAGCAGAACCCAAGGGATGCCAGAAATAATACTGAGAATCAACAAACTGGGTCATATCAAATTAAAAAGCTTCTGCACATCAAAGGAAACAATCAACAGAGTGAAGAGATAATCTACAGAATGGGAAAAACATTTTTCCAGCTTTTTTTCAGAGAAAGGACTACCATCTAAAATCTCAAAGTAACTCAAAAACTGAACCCCGCCACCCAAGTAAAACACAGAATGGAAAATATGCAACTATCTCAATAAAAATACCAATAACACATCTCACAGAATTAGAGAAAACAATCCTAAAATTCATTTGGAACCAGAAGGCATATAGAGTAACAAAAGCAATTCTGGGCAACAAAGGCAAGGATGGGGCATTACAACTCCTAACTTTTGAAACTATACTAGAAAGCTACTTTGATAAAAACAACATGGTAACAGGCAGGTAGCTTATCTGTCAGATCTAATGCTCATGCTTTGACTATATTTGCTTTAATTTCTTGGAAAATTTGTCTTGCCTAGAGGATGCCAAACCCCAAGTAATCATATAGATAAAATAAATCACAAATGTACTAGATTAATTTTACTGGGATCTACCAGATCTTATCCAGAGAGAGAGTTACATGACACATATCAAAGCCTTAACTAACTGTAATTAACAACTCTTAGATGACACTGAAGTTGGTCTCTCTCTTCTAAATAAAAAAGTAAAATTAATGAGACAGGCCATCCTCCAAAATCAGATGACATTAGACATTCTAACAGCAGCACAAGAGAGGGGGTACTTGTGCATCTATAAAAACTAAATGTTGTGTGTACATTATTGATCTTACTGCTGTTATCTCATTAGCTGTAGAAGGTATTAGATTAGATGACAAATTGTTACAGGCAGCTGAGTTAGATAGAAATATTATAGGCAGTCAGATAGAGCTAGACCCCCAAAGAATCCAGTGCACAAGACCAGATTCTTTGCAACTGTGAGGGAGATAGACACCTCCAACTGTGGGCCAGACCTCAACTCAGAAGATAAAACAAATGCATCCACATATTTCCTAAGGATAAACATCAGGTATTGATAAGTAGGAATCGATCCCATTGAGGAAGCCAGAAAGAGCCACTAACCCAGCTGCCTACAGGAAAAGGCCCTGTTTTGTATTTGTGTCCTCTTGCTATGTGACTTGCTTCCCCATTTGATCTTGATTTAATAAATTTTACCTGAGCAATTATACCTGTAATCTTACTGGTTGACCATAACTCTTTCCCCCCTGGTGCCCATCTTGAAACCTCCCATTTTTCATTACCTTGCACTTGCCTCACTTCATGATTTTGCTCTATAAAAACCCTAAAAAAGACAGGATCCTTGGAAACCTACTCCAGACTCCTTCTGTCTCTCTCTCTTGCACAGAAGCTTTCTTTCTCTCAATAAATATATTCTTCTCTTAAAAACAAAACATAATAAAAAAACCAAAAAACAATTTGGTACTCTATCAGGGACCTGGCCTAGATTTCCAATCTCCCAAATGAGTGTCTGGCAAAGGCTTAAATAAATGAGATAAGTGGTATGATTTTAGGGATCCAGGAGGATCAATACTCTCTACAGAGTTTGGGGACTCTGGTGGCTAAGACAGGGAATGCCTCTGGGCAGCCTATATTTATTATTTTTTTCAAACAACATTGGAAACTGAACAGACCTTGGGAGTGGCTCAAGGACTTTGCAAGTAACAAATTATGTTAACAAGGAGAAGAATCTTAGGAGAAGATCTGCATGTTGCATTTCACTACAGGGGAGACATACCTGTAGCTACAGTCTTTATTTAGTTAACTGGAGGTGGAGCTAGGTGTCCTCAGCCATTATCTTATCTTGTCTGGGCCATGCAGCAGCACTGCATGTGGATTCAATTTCCTGTTTCAACAGCTCCCAAAATATTCCTCCCTTTTGTTTGGTTGTTGCATGGAATTGGTGGTCAGTTAAAGCTTGTAATAGCTGTTTTAGGAGACCCCTTGCAATTTAAAACCTGTACAGTCCATCAATCTATAAAAATAATCGGTTACCAGTGTAGCCAGCAATTATCAGAAGATATTTGTGATTTGGGCTTCTTTTAAAGTTAACATTTTACTATGGTACTGTATTATATCTTTTGAAGTTA